AGAGAGAGAGAGAGAGAGAGAGAGAGAGAGAGAGAGAGAGAGAGAGAGAGAGAGAAGAAGTGTAAGGTGTTAGACTGATGCTGGAAGTGAATTCAAGAAAATCCAATTCCTGTCATCCATTGTTGAACTTTAACCTTCTTTCTTTCAATGAGACATTAAGTGAAGAGATATTGTGGCTTCCTGCCCAGTGTAGACTTACCCACACATGCATGCATGCATACATACATACATACCAGAATTTATTGTTTGTATAATTGTTATGCACAGGAGCTTTCATTTCATAATGGCAAAAAAGGGAAGCCACTTGGGGGTGTGTGTGTCCCCTGGTCTCTGTGATGACATTCTGCAAGGTCCCCTACACTGCTAAGATAAGTGTATGTAGGGTTTGCCCTGATCAGTGGCCACTAGCAAATGTCCAGAGTAAAAGAGGCAAAGAAAACCGCTTTTAACACCCTTCCATGGAAAGATAGGATGCTTCAAAGGATCTTTAAGGACCCTGATACTTTCCCACTGCTGATGCAAAAAAGAGGCCTGGAGCAAGGATCTCAAAAGGGCAATAATTAATTTAGGTGACATCATTGACCTTAAAGCCATGAAAGAGCCTGATGGTCCTCCCCTCCAGACACTGGGCTTCCTACAGTTTTTCCTGTCATAAACTTCCATTTTGCTAGGCTGCAGACAACAAGAAATGAGTTCTGAAAAGCTAGAGCCTAGCCCATGACTAACAGACATTAGAGGCAATCCTGGGCCCAGGGCTTCACTGGAAGTTTATAACAAACATTTGTGATCTAACTTGAGATTAGACCAGGATAAGGCAGGGGCAATAATAGGAAATAAGAACCCCTTAAACAAAACCCCAAAGACAAGGGCTTGATAACTGTTCAGCTTAGACCCTATACTTAAGTTGCTATTCAGGCAAAACACTTTATTATATGCTGATGTTATTTCTGAGGTCTTGGGGGCTGGACCAGTTCACACACTGAAGATTTTAATGAGAATGAACACTTACTGAGGACCTGCCAGGGACTGAACACATGTTCATTTATTTCAGTTGTCCAGTCCGCTCTCCACCTGCGAAGCCACTGATCCCCTCAGCTACACCATTAGCCTGTGAAGCAATGAGCACTGAGCAGTGCCCCCCTCTGGTGCTTCGGTTCTGATGAGTGCTACTCTAGCATTGCCAGAAACGAAGCACATCTAAGGGGTGTGGGAGCCAGGTGCCCTGCGGCAGCACATCTGGGTTTATGGCTTTAACTGACAATGCCCAGCTGGCTCTTCTTCCTGCATAACTGTGACGCTGAGTAAATGTGACACTCTTAAGGAAAGGAAGCAGGTTAATTGGCCCAAACATGAAATGGGACAGTGAGGGACACAGACAGGAGCAAAGCCATCCATGGCTTTCTAATTCATTGGTGACAATGAAGGTACTTCTTACCTTGAAGTAAAATTTGGGCTTTTCTCCCACCAATGGGAGACAAGGCCCACGAGGAGGGCTCTCCCTGGAAAATGTCCTGCTATGGTGGGTAATCCAGGCCAGAGCCAGAAGATTTAAGCAGAAAGAATCAAGTCCCTCCTCCAATCCCAAAAACAGCACAGATGCTGTTTTAGTTTTCATAGTGTAGATATTAGTAAGGAGAATGACTTTCTCCAAGAATATCATCCTATGGTCCTGAGTGTTTTATATGTGGCATCCAGCTATCTAGGAGACACCTGAATCCTATAGTTCATGATTCTTTTTGTAGGTGAAATGCATTCTCAGGGATGTTGGGGGTTTGTGGTCTGGTCTGAAGTACAAATTTGGAAGCTGTTATGGTTTGTGTCTAGCTGTCCCCCACAAAGCCTCACGTAGTCATGGGGCAAGCTTCTAGAGTTCGTGATTAATTCATGATCCAATGCTGGGATTACGGGTGTGGGTATTACGCCTGCACTGGGGTGGAGAGCCTGAGTGCAGTATAAGGAAGGGAGACTGGCTCAGCACTGCCACCGCCACAGCAGCTCCTTTCCTTTTGCTCTTGCTGCTGTCCTGTGTTCTACCATCATAAACCAATGCCGTCCACCATGGGCCACTCTGCCTTGGAGCAGCTGATTATGGACTGAAACCTCCACAAACTGTTAAATAAGGTTAAATAAACCTTTCCACCCTTAAGTCTGGGTATAAGGCATTTTATTTCACTAACAAGAGGAAAGTAACTGAGAGAGAAGTCCTAACTAGTTGATGCCTCTCTGGTAGACTCACTTCTCTTGTACTCAAATTCGGCATCCAAGATGCTGAAATGTGGAATAACCTACATACTGACTGATAGGTTCTGGCCCTGGTATGAATCACTGAATCATTATGGTGGTCATCTAATGGCTGAAGCCCTTAAAACAACAGCTTATCTTCCCAGAGACCACCTCCCCACTTCTTCTCTAACTCAGCCCAGGGTGCAGTCTCCTTTCACCTTTCCCGCCACCTCAGGGAAGGCCCCAGTCAGCTCCTCAGGTCTATCTAAACATCCCCCTTAAACCCCATGCCTGGCAAAAGGCTATAAAAGCCTCAGCCTCCCTTTGGTCCAATCCAGAGAATTCCTTATCTACCCAAATTCTCTCCGTGTCCTCCAAAATAAGGAAGCCCCTTTCCCTTCATTATAAAGCCCCTTTCGTTTTTTACCTTCTGCCTATTTCTCTGCTGCAACACGGTCGAAAACCTATCACTGACCACAAAGAGGAAGGATTTCTAGAGTAAATCATCAGAAATTCTATTACACTGAAATGAGCATATAGTTAAAACTTAAAAACAGCTAACTAAATCCTGTTCTATAAGAGAAAATTAAAAGCAAGAGAAAAGTAGTCATAAGCTTAAAGAGCCTATGGAATTTTACTACCTTTACTGAAATTTTAATTTACTGACATCTTTAGGGATGTGGTGGTTTTGTCCCAATGGTCAAACGTAGGTAATATGAGGAAAAAAACAGGTCTTTTTTCAGGTGATTAGAGTATTTTTCAGATTTTCAGAATATTTTAGGAATTATTTTGGGGGCCAGGGAGATGGCTCAGTGGAATAAGTGCTTCCCTGGCAAGCACAAGGGCCGGAGTTCAATCCCCAGTTCCGAAAAAAAAAAAAAAAAAGAATTATTTTTGACACGTCTTCTCCATCTGCCCACACACATTGTGCTGTGGACACCCAGCTCCCTGCAAACACCCCACAGTGCTGAGAAATCTTCAGTTCTAGCACCACGGTGTCCTTCCTCTCCCCAAGATTTTGTTACAGGACTATTTCTTCCTTTCTACCATTTCCTTTTCTTCCATTTTCTATTCACAAATTTTAATTTCCCCACCTCTGTTTATCCACCAAAAATGATACACAATAACCTACACCATTAAAGAACAGGCATAGTCAGCGAAGCTCCCCAAACTAGAATTCTGTGTAAGGAAACCTATTTTTATGGGGCAGGTACTCTTCAGTTTTTTAAATTTTTCTTGGGGGAAAGTTTCCCAATTAATATCATATTTAAGACTTTCTAAATGAGGTACAAAAAATAAAGCCATATTAATATGCTGAGCTGTTAAAAGGCTCAAGTCAACAACTTCTGACATTGTCAGTCCTACAGACAACCCACTACTATTATGGACTACTGGACTATATTGGATTATTCTCCTGAATTCACACACCTACAATATTTAAATGGCAATGGAATACCCATCTCTGACAAAACTAAACAAAAAAGGTAGATACAAATGAAGGACCATTTTGTATCTATATATACAACATAGTTAGGATAGATATACAGCTACTTTCTCTTAATTCAATGAGAATAAAGATTTGCACTAATAGTGTTTGGACAGGATATCATGTCTGCATTTTTGCTTATGAATAACCACTACAAAGACAATAATATGTAATGTATCCATTATTGAAACTGTCCTATTAATTGGTTTTGAAACTGTCTCATTGCTATTTGTTTCTCAATAAAATTAATTTTTAAAAAAGAATTCCACATAAAAATAAAGAATTCTTCAATTCCATATAATCATCCCAGGCCTTCTAAACGGTCCACACTAACTCAGTAAGTACAAGAGTTTTCCTCATAACACAGATGCTAGATTTACTAGATGTGGTGCACACTGAAGTCTACAAGGCCCATTTACTGAGCCTCGGGCAGTGACTCACAGGCAAGTGCCACTGAGGTCAAAAGAGAAGCAGCCCATACCACACAACGTTGTTAATGACCACTTGCTGTGGTTTGTGTCCAGCTGTCCCCTGAAGCCCTCATGTAATCATGGGGTGGCTTCTACAGCTTGTGATTGATTCATGGTCCCATGCTGGGATTATGGGTGTGAGTGCTACACCTGCCCTGGGGCCGATAGCCTGAATACAATATAAGGAAGGGAAAGAAGCCTCCAAGCCACTGGAGCTGTGGCTCCTCCCTTTGCTCTGTGCTGTTTTCCTCCACCATGAACTGTTGCCCCTCTTCCATGCCACCCTGCCTTGGAGCCAAATGATTATGGACTGAAACCTCCACAGACTAAGCCAAGTAAACTTTGCCTTCCTTGATTCTGGGCATCAGGTATTTTGTCTCAGCAATAAAAGTAACCAACAAATCATTTAGCAATCACTTCATTCTCACTGTGAGATATGTCACTCCTTACCACTCAGCTCTCTTTACCTGCTTCTATACTTCACCTTTACTTCTTATCATATGTTTTAACTGATCTGCTGAAGATTCCTGTCGCACCTGCCCAACTAGCTGACATTTTTAGGTCACCTGTTTCATGCACGTAGCAGTCAATATACTTTAGAAGAGTTAGTGAGTCTATTTTTCACTGCTGATCTGTGTTCTTGCCAGGAAGAACAGAGTACTCTAAACACCAAACTTAGTTAAAAGTTTATTTAAATGACTTACTGGAATGTTATTTGAAGGTACAAGCATAATGAGAAATTACTTGATAAATTTAGAATTACCTTGTTGACCTGGGAGGCTGAGGCAGGAGGATTGCTATGAGTCTGAGGCCAGCCTGGGCATCACAGTGAGTTCCAGTTCAGCCTGCACTATATAAGGAGGCCCTGTCTCAAAGGAAAAAAAGAAAAAAAGGAATTACCTTGTTGAAAAACACACATCCCTCAGACTTAATCTCTTTATCCATCAATGAAGGAAATCTGACATATTAGAAATAAAACAAATAAAGGTGTGATTTTGAACTATTTTTAGTCAGAATGTTCTGATGACAAAAGTAAGAGACCAAAAATACCATATAAACCAATCTGGGTTTGGAAGAAATAGACAAATGTTTCTCTGTCTTTACATATTTAGTTTCCTTATATATTTGGTCTGGTTGGTGATGGTGGTGGTGATGGTGATGGCAGCGACTGTGTGCACGTATTTTGCTGGGAAGCAAACCCAGGGTTCTACACACAGTAGGCAAGTGCTTCACCACAGAGCCACGCCCCAAGCATGAAGTGAATTTTTATATCTGGAGTTTATTTTCATAATAATAATCACCTACATGGCATAAGGCAAGGCCATCAATTTCGTTTCTCATTACTCACTGTATGGAGAATATTCAATCCTCCAAGCTAAACACTTCAAAAACAAAGTTGTTCAAATGAACACATAAGATATTTCTATGGCTATTATGAAACAGGGAATTTAATAAAATAGGCCTATATCCATTTTGTGCCGCTGAGCTATATTCTGAGTCCTCCTATATCCATTTTTGAAGAGATGTCAGATAAATGAATATTTGCAAGTACTGTTTTTTTATTCATGTCAACTTGAGAACAACCACTGAGAATAATCTAGTTTACAAAATAAGTCAACATTCATTATTACAAGCTCTTTTACAATGTAGAATTCGAAATGTAAGAATAATAGAAATAATTTATTAGAATTCTGTTTTGAAGGCCCGTCAGCCTTCTCAAAAACATTAGACTGTTAATATATGCATAAGGAATTGTCATTTTTTAGAGATGCGATTACTCCAAATTAAATCAATAGGTAAACAAGTATCACATAGCTATTCCTCAGTTCCTGTTTTAAATGAACTTATATGACTAGGAAATAGCTAATATAAAGCTCATTTTTCAACAGAAACACAGAATAAGATTCCATGGATAATATTCAAGATAGTAAAAGCAAACAGAGAAAAAGAATCTAAATCATTTAAAAACTTTTCCAGTACTGTTTTGTCTACACTAAAGTAGAACAAACCTGTGGGAGCTCAAGAAAAACATAACCTGAAATAGACTGCCTGCAAAAAGATTTTAGAGAGGGGATAAAATCTATCCCCCAAGAGATAAGAAGGGACAGAGCATATACGAAACAAGAGGAGTGCAGGATAAAATAAAAACAAGACGAAATCTGCAACAGACCAAACAAAACTGCTGTTGAAAGCAGCTATGAGCCCTTTAGTATGAAAAGCTACTGTTGGGTGAAGCAGAAATTATGTGAAGTTAGAGCTAGAAATATTTGGATTAAAGTTGGTTTTTTGTTTTTTTGTTTTTTTGTTTTCAATTCACTATGTAGTCATGAAAAATATCATTCAGTCTCTCTGAATCATGTAAAATGAGATGGTCTAAAACATTCTGTTCTTAAACCCTGGGAAATAGAAAGAAGGTAAAGCCTTTGAGGTAAATGACGTAATAGGCCGAGTCTTACTATGGGAAAATAATCTGTCACTGGACTCATTCCTAACATGCAGTAGGCACTTCAAACACATAAATTTCACCTGAAATCACTAAAATGACCACCCCATGGCAAAACAAGGAATTGGCAGAATACAACAGGAACCAAGGCACCATATTTTGGCCACTGAAGATACATGTAAATATTAAAAATTTCCCAAAACACGGTAATCACACGAAGCGTGGGAATCTAACCTAGGACTGACAGCATCTCCAACGCACGCAGGATAGATGGATCGTAGTATCACCAGGAGAATGTAAATTAAGACAATTTCCAAACATCAGAAAAAACGACAACGACGATTAGCAACAACCATCACCAGGAATCTGAGTTTTAAAAAAGGATGGACTACAAGGAAAAATGATACTGTATACTTAAGTTCGGCCAAGAACCTATCAAGGATGTAAAATGAAGCATAGAGACATTTTTGTCCTCCCGACCAATCATGGTGAGAACAAGGGTGAAGCAATCTCAAGGCTACAGAGTCAGAAAGAATAACTCAAGGTGCTGCAACGAGAAAGAAAAATGAATTCCCAGATTTCCAGAATACCTGAGAATGTACTAGGCTCCCCAGGGAAGCTACCAGTAAAGAATCTCTTATAATAATAAATAAGATTATTAAATTCTAAATGACTGTTGAAAATACTTAGGATTTGTGCTTATGATAATTTAAACTAATAGGGGAAATGTGGTACATGACAAAAGTTACATAAAAGCTTTACAAAAAATCATGGACCCTGGGAATCCACAAAGAACAACACAAAAGGAACATGCTTCTTCTCAATTGCTACAACTCATCTTTTTTCCCCTGTAGAACCCATACCCACTGGTGCCAACAGGCAACCAAATCTGGGTCAACATGGTCATCCAACCTTTGGGAGAGAAATGACATGACTATGGGCAAGTTCTGGAGGCTGCGCAAGCTCGCAGAAAGTCCCAAGGAGAATCGAAGCAGAACTGCTGACAGACCCCAAGCAGAAAGGCCAACAACAGCCTTTAGTGCACATCTGGAGATACTGTCCCCAAAGAGGATGCCCTGAGGAGAAAGATCAGAAGGAGAGGACTGGTCCTCCCTCCTTGGAGCTTGGGAACATATGGGGATCGAAGCAGGAAGGCTTTCTCCTCTGGGTATCTCTGCTGGGACTCTGATGATCTACCTGCTTCTGTGAGCTGGGACAAGGAGTAGGGACAGCCCCACTTTCCACACCCCATGAGGCTCACAGGGGACTGAGAGTGAAACACTAGACAGAATCCCCTAGGGCTCAGTAAATAGAAAGAGAACTGCCAGGCAGGAAGAAATGCTCCGAGACAAAGGAATCACACAACAATAGGAATAAAACACCCTGAAGCACAGTAAATGGAATGCAAAGACACACCCAGGACTTTCTGGAACTAAAAACAAAAACAATTTTTTAACCAAAGGTGTGAATGGAAGTGAAGGACAGTTTAGCGTCCTCGACAACAGAGGTGGAAGCCTGAGCAGGCGACCATTCGAGAAATAGCTCAAATCATATTTAAAAATACAAAATGTGATTCATGGGTCATGAAAGGCATCTAACCTAATGCTGAACAAATGCAGTATCCTAAAGCTCTGCAGATCCAAAGCATAGACTGAGTCTAAGGGCTACAGGTCTCCTTGAGCCGTCAAGGGGACCACGTTGCTTTACCCTTTGCAACCTGCAGAGGTCACCTGTGTCCCTCGGTTCGTGGCCCCTTTATCTTCCAAGCCCGCAGCTCAGAATTTTCCTTCCTGACTGATACCCTGCGTTCCTTCTAACGAAGGAAAGTTCTCGAAAAGGACCTTCGAAGAAGCTGATGGTAAGGAAGAGGATGGAGACGAGGATGAGGCGGCAGAGGCAGCTAAGGGCAAGCAGGCAGCTGGGGACGACGAGGACAATGATGTGGATACCAAGAAGCAGAAGACCGACGAGGATGACTAGACAGCAAAGAAAGGAAAAGTTAACTAAAAAAAGACCACTGTGACCTATTCATCCTCCACTTCCCATCTCAGAATCTACACGTGGTCACCTTTGAGTGGAGCGGCGTCCACCCGCCGGGCAGCGCCACCAGCAGACACCACTGTCCACCACCGCCCCAACAAAACCACACGCGAATTTGCAACAGGGAGGAAAAAGAATCAAAACTTCCAAGGCCTTGCTTTTTTTCTTAAACGTACGTTAAAAAGGAAAATTTGTTTGTATTTTTTAATTTACATTTTATGTTTTTGTACATATTGTTAGGGGTCAGCCAGTTTTGATGATTGCAGATGACCAAATCAGCCTTCCGAGCATCCTTTGTCCTACTTCCGACTCTACTTGTGGGGCAACCATGTTCATTATAATCTCAAAGGAGGAAAAAAAAACTTGTAAAGAAAAAAAGCAAAAGCAAACAACAAACAAACAACAAAATTTTATTCAGAGAATTCCAGTAACTTTTTTTGTGTGAGTACTTAGCTGTACTATAAGTAGTTGGTTTGTATGAGATGATTAAAAAAGGCCAAAGATAAAAGGTTTCCTTTTTTCTTTTTTTTTTTGTCTATGAAGTTACTGTTTATTTCTTTATTTTTTGGTCTGTTTGATGTATGTGTGAAACAATGTTGTCCAACAATAAGCTGGAATTTTATTTTGCTGAGTTGTTCTAAAAGAGAGAGAGAGAGAGAGAGAGAGAGAGAGAGAGAGAGAGAGAGAGAGAAGGACCTTCGGAGTTACCTCAGCCCACTGAGTGACGCAAGCTACTCTCCCCCCTCTGAAAATCCTTAGCTTAATTGTACCTGCAAAGTAATGTATTCCAGATCAGGATATGAATGTCTGTGGCTGGAGGGCTTTTTGAGGCAGCTACTGAGAGAATACAGGAAAAAGACACTGTAGAGAGTTGGAGGACAGAATCAGAGTATATATTATGATACGAAAATCACATAAGCTTCCCTTGGACAAAAAAACACACACAGAAGATTAAAAAAATTATATGAATAATGGAAAAATAATGATCTAAGATGAAAAATTCTCGATCCTGCAGATTAAATTGACCATGAATTCATACAGAAAGGTGGAAAAAGACACACACTGAGGCATATTCTGGTATAATTTTTAAACTACTAGGGTCAAGAAAAGTCAAATCTTTGAACAAAATAGTAAATTAGTTAGAAGAACTATCTGAACAGTAAAAGCAGACTTTTACACATTAGGGTCAGCCAGATAGCTCAACGGATTAAAGTGCATGCTTAGGCAGACACAGGGAATCCCAACTTGGGAGGCTGAAAACAGGAAGATCACTAGGAGTCTGACCTGTGTAGTGAGACCCTATAAACCCTGTACTAAATACATTTTAAAAAACCTTTCTATGCATCACTGGTACTGGGGAAATGATGTAAAATCAGTTCTAGACTCTGAACTGCCCATGTTTCCTGTAACTAGTGTTGCTTATGAGGCCCCAGTAGTAAAATGAGTTCAAAATTAATAGAAGAGGAAATTAATAAAAAAAATACTGTGGCCCAAATTTATTTACCTAACCCAAAAATGATTCATCAGATACTTGTGCATATGCAGGAACTTGGAGAGCAGATCACATATCTCAACTGAAAAAAAAATACTTTGAAAAGACTTTCAAATTGAAATATGCAAAACAGAGACCTTAAAATGGGAACCCAGGAAGAAGAATATAATGTAGAATATAGATGAGTCTAAATGGATTCATTCTTATGCTTTGAGAAAGTGTTTAAAGGTAAGAAAGATATTATATGTTGCATATATTATGTTAAATAATGACAACATATTAATATTATTTAAATATAAAAGATGCACCTAAAACAATACTTTCTGGAAATGAATTAAATGGAGAGTATAATAATGGTCTACAGGGGCCAGGGAGATACTCAGGGAACTAAGCACCTGCTTAGATAAGCACCAGGACTGGGGTTCAATCCCTGATATCACATGTCACACAGGCCCCACCCTGGGCACATTGAGCTGGCCACTGAGACCAGACATGGTAGCACACACCTATAATCCCAATGCTGGGGAGGCTAAAAACAGAAGGATCAATATGAGTCTGAGCTGTGTAGTGAGATCTTGTACCAAGTACATTTTTTTAAAAAAGAAATTAAATGTGTTAATCTAGAAATTAAGATATTCTAAAAATCTCATCTAACATGAGTTAAGAGTAGGGGAAAACAGAACACTTATAGTAGGAGAAGATGAGGAGAAACTTTGTCTCAATAGAAAAAATAATTGCAATTTGTCATTTTACAAAATAGCAGAGAAGTGAATGGCAGATTATGCTTGAACATTGAGAAGATAAGCGTGAGGTAATGGTCAATGGAATGGAAATGTTGATATTTCAATTAACAGAGAAAAAAAATAAAATGAATGGCAAATCGACTCAAGAAACTAAAAGGAAAAATTTAGGAAGAACAATGTGGAACACTACAAGCAAAAGCATCATCAGAATACATCAGTAGTACTCAGAGAAAAAATGAATCAAATAAACTCTGCATTTAAAAACAAAGTGATTGCCAGATTTGTTTGCGAAACAAAAACAGGTGTCTACAAAAAAGAAACAAAATGAACTTAAAGGGTAGATTAAATGTCATCTTTGAGATCAGTTCTGCTTCTATGCTAAGCCTAGTGACAGAGACCAACTTTGCCCTCCTGCTTAGACCAGCAACAGAAAACTTAAAGATAAGCACATGAGACAACAATCCCTGAGAATTGAAAAGATGAGGAAGACCCTGGGTCTTTGCCTTAAGTAGTGAAACCAAAGTTTCAAAATAAAGTTCAATCTCCATGTATGGATTAACACAATGAGATAGATATCAATGAAGAAAAATTAACAAAGTAGATGTTGAATCTGAGCAATATATGTATAATGAGATCCAGAATAAAAAAGGACCAAAATATAAGCAAACGTGTCTCAGTTACTTTTACTCATTGCTGGGACAAAATACCCAAGATCCAAAATGAAGGAAGGAAAGGTTTATTTAGCTCACAGTTAGTGAAGGTTTCAGTCCATACTCTGCTGGCTCCAAGGAGATGGCAGCAGTTCGTGGCAGCAGAAAACAATGAAGAGCAGAGGAGAAGCAGCAGCTGCAGCACCTATCAAGCCTCTCTCATCCTTCCACACTCACTCCACTCACTGCACCCACCGTGCTGACTACAAAGATCCGAGCACCTCTGAAGTGGTGCAACTGCACTGATAGAGCTCCTCCAAGTAAGTGGCTCTGCAAAGATCTCAACACCTCCAAGAAACTGGGGCCCGCAGAAGCCTTCCTCAGCCCCTTTATATACCCTTTAAATGCTGACTCACTCTAGGGAGGGCCTTCCCTGCCCATGGTGGGGCCCCTCATGCCCCTGGGCCCATGGAATTGCCAGGCAATCCAGCCAAACTTCAGACATCTCAAGTTGACACAACATCAACCACCACAAAACAGATATGAGAAGAGATAGAGAGTTGTAAGATACCTTCTGTTGGAGCTACAGGAAGGGGAAGTAAGATAAAGCCCAAGGAGCTACTGGAAGTGTTTTACAATCAACTCTCTGTTAAAGAAATCCAGTGAAGTCCAGTGGAGACAAATACTATTCCACCCTTCTCATTTATTCCACAGCTCCTCAATCCTATCTTTTTGCACTCCATGTCTAATCCAGTAGAAACACTATTGGCCCCATCTTTAAAACAGATTTAGAGTCTGAGCACACCTTAGCACAACCCCCACTACCCACACAGTTCAAGCTATATTATCCCTCACTTGAGTCCTTGTTATCATTTATATCTAGATGTCCCCATTCTTTGTTCTGTTTTGGCTTATATGCCTTTCCTGGTTTCCAGGGCAACCTCAATGGAATACCATGGTGGCTGGTGTAGGACTTCACGGGATATCACCATGGCAGGTT